GGTCGTAGGTTCTATGCTTTCGGTGTTGTGAAGATCACTGCCAGCCTTCCTTCGCTGGCAGTCAACGGCGTGGCCCAAGCCCACAAGAAGCAGCATTCTCCGGAGACTATCATCGTTGAGAGGGCGTAATCATAAGGAGAGGGTCGAAGCTGTGGTGTACGCGACGTGACTATCATTGGGGTGATGACCTGGGTTCGGTGGAGACAAGGATCAGACTGCCGGGAATATCTCAGAGCTGGGGGGGCATCAGCTTAAATTACGGGCCCTGTTTAAGTCCTCCGAAAAAATTACGGCACCCGTATCAAAAAAAGCCTAAAATCCCTAGAAGGGACCCTCATTTAGAGAACTACCCACATCCAAACCCTAAGCGACGGCAGGCCTGCTCGGTGCCGAAAGCTCAGCGCACCGACCCGCCGCCACGTCGCTGCCACAACCACTTCGAAGGCTTCTCAGGGCTTCTTGGGTTTAGGGTTTTTTGGGTTTAGGGTTTAGGGCTTTAGGGCTTAGTGTAGGGGCCTTAATTATAATCCGAACACGGTCCTGGTGTCGGTTATACTATATTTTATAACAACAACTCCCAAACCTTGTTCTGATGATTAAGGCCCCTACATTAGTTTGGTGTATCGAGTTTTATTGTGTTCCAAGTATCAACTTGTGGGGATCTGTGTTCTGTTTATATAAGTTCGCTTCAATTGAAAGCTTACACTTCTGTACGAAGGCTAGGTTAACAGCAACTCTATTTAGTGGGGCTTGTTGGCGCCTCTGGGATGTATCAGCGTTCATGGAGGTTTCTGCTGTCCTAGCGTTGATTAAGGTTGAGGGTTTTCCGGCTTGGGGTGTGTATACGGTCTAGGGTTTGGGATTCAGGGCACAGGCTTGTCGGTGTTATTTCAGCATGTAAGATTCAGCTTCTGCGAGGGGGCATGTATGTGGAAGTTTGGCGGCTTTGGGTGTACAGGCGCTTGTTAGGTTGTCGGGTTTGGGATATCTCGGTCCTACATCGCTTGCACTGGTCTTTCAGGAGTCGAAGTTGGGAATCTCACGCCCAGGAAGGGCCTGAGATCTGTTGAGCTAACACGTTCGGGTTGCCACAGCTTGCTGTTGGACTGCTTAGAAAGTTACAAGGATTTTTGACTCAGAAGTTGTGCGGATGCCGCTTGTTCATCCGACAAAATCCCTGCCTATTGATGGTACTAGGGATCAATCTTGCGGTTGTTGTTCTGTTCCGGGAGAAGCTTCTGTTAATCCAGAAGCTGCTGATGCTCGTCAGCACGATGTCGAAGAGCTGTTCCGATGGTCTTATGAACTTCGAACGCTAAAGACCACGGAGTGTCGATGCTCTCGAGGTGGTGGTGCTCTTTGCACCAAGCGCGGCCTCTGCCCACGCCCCAGCGCATGGGTTGAGGGTCAAGCTTCGAATTTGCTGAAATGCCAAACCCACCCTAAACCCTAAACCCTAAACCGTAACCCATTCAAAAATCCTCTACAAGCCTTCCGAACACTAAAGCCGGAGGAAACCTTAACCGTTTCGGCCCGAACCCGCCCTCTTCCTGGCGAGAGTAGAACCAAGAAGCTGAACCCTGAACCGCCAAAACCCTAAACCCCGAAAAACTAAACCCTATAGCCTAAACCCCCTAAGCCCTAAACCCTTAGACCTAAACCCCTAAACCCTGAACCCTTAGACCTAAACCCTTAACCCCAAACCCTGAACCCCAAGCCTTGAACCACGATCTAGATTTGGGACTCGGCCTTTTTCAGGAGCCTCGAGGCACCCGCTTGGGGGTTTGGTTTACAGGATATAGGGGTCCGGAAGTATTCTCTCCTAATATAGTTCCCGTGTGTGTATATATATATATATATTTATGTATTTATTTAATTATTTATGCATTTACTTATTTATTTATAGGAGAAGAAACACGGAATGCCACGGCCTCATACCACTTTCTTCAGGCCCCCGGGAAGCTATGTAGGTGCAGGGCTCTATAGGGTCTGAGGTTGCAGGTTTTGGGGCCCTAAACCCTAAACCCTAAACCCTAAACCCCTAAACCCCTAAACCCTAAACCCCTAAACCCTAAACCCTAAACCGGGGATCGTAGATTCAAAGCTTGGGCTAGCCTTTCGCAGGCTCTCGGCTCTGCTAATTTGTGGCCCTCGCTAGAAGCTTCGAGGTTTCGGGATCTAGGGTTTTGTTTAGGGTTTAGGGTTTAGGGGTTTAGGGGTTTAGGGTTTAGGGTTTAGGTTTAGGTTTTTGTTCGGTTTACCGCTCTGGTTCTCATTTCTCCATGCCATTTTACTGTTGAAACTCTTGCTTGAAGATCCGCCTGACGGCTTCCATTCCCAAGATAGGTTTAGGGTTTTGGGCTCAGGGTTTAGGGTTGAGCTGATCTGACAGCTCAGGGTAAGAGGTTCCGGCTGCATGCCTGTGAAGGGTCCTTAGTTCTCCAATACCCAACCTTTAAACTTTTTGGGCTCTTATAACTTGGTAGTCATCTGACAGTTTCACCTTTTACTTCTCTGGCACTAAGGATCAGAACCAGAGTTGCTCATGCAGTTGAGTTCGGCTGCTCCACACTCACTTTGCTGATACATGCCCTCAGAAGTCGAGCCAGAGCTCGGGTTCTTTAGTGCGAACTTCTAGTCCTGCAAGCTCTTGCTTATGCACCCAGAGAGCCCAATACCTCTTAATTAAGGAATATACCTTAAAAAATTGTAGGGGCCTTGATATTATAATTTAAGGTATATACCTGAATAAAGGGGTATTGGGCCCTCTGGGCAGAAGCCCAAGCACTGGACCCCAAACCCGGAGACTTGGAAATCCTGACTTGATTTTGACCATCTTTGCGAACTGAAATCCTGAGTCAATCGTCTTCGACCATCCCTGAACCCAAAACCCGAAACCCTAAACCCTAAACCCTAAGCCAACGGCGCAGTAAGGCGAGTCCTTGGTTGCGCACTTTCTCCGCTTCGGCCGCGATCCGTTTGGTGCAGTTCCGCTCACGCTGCTGGGCGGGGAGATTTGGCTAAGCGTCCCGAGCTGTGGAAGTAGAGCTGCAAGGGGTGGATACTTTTATCAGCACTGACGCCATCGAAATTTTGAGTGTTGTTGGCACTGTGTTTCTTATTTGTGCTGTTTTCTTCCTTACCAAAAAAAATTAGAAGATGCCTGTTGTTTCGTTCCAGGGGTGTAGACAGTGTAGACTTGTGCGGAAGTTAAGAAGATCCTTAGTCATAGTCCTTACCCTCTCGCGGGGAGTGTCAGGCTGAATCGGGTTAAAGGACGTTGAAGTCTTAAGGCCCACGTCGTCAGAGGTTGCGTGTAGCGGTCTCATACCTGGAGTATCAATGTCCCCATACAGTTCCTTCAATGGGGATACTACAGTGTACTCCAAAACTCAATCTTGAATTGTAATCCGAGGTTCTTGGTGCATGGCAGCAGTGATCCCCAGCATCACGGCCGCAGAGTCTCCCCGCCCTCCCAGACACTCCATCTGCCCTCTATTGGATCCTAAATGCCCATGACTTAAGACCACATACCCCTATTTGAGGGAACCAGGGTGGGTGCTGCATATGAGTGCCAAATTTTCGGAGTCTTAGGAACCTAGCACGTAAGGTGGAAGTAGAGCCTATCCGTGACCTACTCGGGATTCGCAGGCCTCATCACAACTCTTCCAAGTGACCCTGCAACAAAAAGCGGCCCACGCCGGGAACATTTGCATACTTCTTTGTATCCTGCTTGTCTTGCTAAGTTCTGCGAAGGCCTTGAGAGGGACATTGCTCGTCCAGCACTCACCCCTGAATTACCATGTACGGAGAAGAGGCCAAAGTAGCGTGGATGGCTCGGCAGTGCTGCCACTGGTGCACCTATCGCCACCTCCTGCAACCACACTGTAGGAATCTTGCGGCCACTCCCACGACTTCTGCAGACCACTGTTGCCGTTGGTAGAACTTCAGCTGGGCCCCCCAATCACCTTTAGGGCTTACGCTTACGCCTGAGGCAATATTCAGCTGGTGATTTGTCAGGATGGAGGGGGTAGGACAAAGGTCGGGTGAAGTGCCGGGACTGTATTTTCATTGCATTGCCGATGCTTATTCCGGCCGACTGCATACATACATACATACATACATACATACATACATACATACATACATACATACATACGCACGCATATGTACATAGATATACACATATATACATACACACATATACA